TTAATTATGTTTGCGATAAAAATAACTTATCTTATAAAGTAAACATGGCTAAAGCTATTCGTCACATATCTTATCAAGTTTAATAAATAATAACATCCTACAGTTAAAATGTCTAGGAAAAATTGTTCTCTGTCTGTCACGCTCATATCACTATTACTTGTCATTGCTCTGAGGGACTTTACTTTGATAGACAATTCTTAATAGAATAATTCTGCGTGCACAACTTAGGGAATTTTTTGTGAATATTATTTAAAAATTATTAAAAACAAATATATTTATTTGAGAGAAAATTATATACTTAAAGGAATACCTCTCTTAAGAGTTCAATAAATAAGTCAATGTACCCTAAAGATAAAGTAAAAGTCATCTAGTGAAAATTCAGCCGCACTTGGAGTTTCCCTAGTTGTTGACTTAGCACTTGCTATCTCTTTTTATTTAAATATTCCCCTCTCTTTCAATGACTTTCATGGCAGCGTCCAGAGGAGGCGCATAAAAAATGTATTCACACAAATTGCTTGTGTCAACTCGAAGTTTTCAGCGAATTAGCAATTTGTGCAGCGGTCGCAGTGGAAATTTTATACCAAATTGCAAATTCGTGTTTACTTTGTTTCAGTAAATTTTCCACCTCGTTTTTTCGCTGCTTTTTTTAATGTTCTTTTTTTGCTGAAGAAGGACTTTTCCTTGCCGGCTTCTTTCGAACAGTGTTGACTTAATGGATATGTAAATAAAAACTGAAGTTGATGCGGATAAAGCTGGGGGTCTGCTTTTGACCGATAAGTTCTATACGAATTATGTGTGTATATAGTTTCGGAGGGGAAATAAAATTGCCAACCGATTGCTGGATTAATTGTCAGCTCGTCTGTCTTCATTTGTCGGTTGTGTGAAAATCGGTTTGATTGTCGTGCATATTAAGTGGGAAATTTATAAAAGCACATAATTGCAAAACCGGTGTGCGTCATTTAATTCTCATGACTGCTGCCAATGACAGCTGTTTGCGTTTTGTGATTTCATTCTGATGGCTTTATTGAGGTATATCACGCATACGCAGTGTGGCATTTAAAAGGTAACTTTAAAAAGAAATGTGTGGAGCTATGAGTAGTTTGTAGTTGTATAAATCAATAAGCAATATTAAAATATTAAAAAAAAACTGCTAGTAAAAGCTTTCTTAACTTCTTTAACTTCAAAGAAAAAATATAAAAGTTGGCTCTAAAAAATACTGACTATGAAAATAAAACTACACACCATGTTTCGTTTTATGTCTGACTTTACTCATTTAAAACCTTCAGACAAGTCCTTGGATTAAGTGTTCTAGGCTTAGAAAATACTCTCTACATTGTCGAACAAACCAATATTGCATTCCCATTCCTGTAAGCTGCAATATTATGTGTGCATTGGACGTATCATCGGCCACAAATTGCAGCTGCTGCTATTTAATGCCACAACTTTTGGTACTCAACTCAGGCAGGATACTTACACTCTCTCTCTCTCTCTCTCTTGCCAAACACATGTCGGAGTCCTGTCCGAGGCGAGTCCTGGATGGAGTGCTGTTCAAGCATGTTGCAATAAAACTAAATCGAATTCAAACACAAAGTTCATTTACAGTTCATCAAGTCGGTCTGGCTGAATTTCGAAATTTCCAAGGGGGCAGGGACGCAAACAAAATGTGGCTTCCTGAATACTTGCTGCCTGCGAAACTTCTAAACTTGGCTCTTATGCTAAATTAAATGTGCTTGAGCCCTCTGGTACTTGAAAAGTTTCTGGTTCGCTCTCGTAGGCGTTTATATGTTAAATTGATTTGCGAATTTAAGTTCAGGTGGGAGAGCACCTATGTACATACATTATGCCTCAAAGTCAAAATAGTTTATTTTGGTTTATGGTCGAGCGAAAGAATTTGCCATTAGCATGATAATGGCTCTATTGATACACATTTATGTTGCATCACACAGCATGCATCTGCGGTTTAGCATTGTCGACATCAAATTTCGGTTATTGGGGCGACACACAAAACTTTTCAGTGGAAAAATCAACCGAAAATACCGCGGAAAATTGCCATTGATTTCGATTAATTTCCAATGGCTTTTCTGGTCGCTTTTGCGTTTGCCCCGGAGTATCGCTAATTGTGCGTGTAAAGCGTATTTATTTTGGCCAATATAGACTTTTTTTTTTGTTCTTGTTTGTGGTGGTCTCAACGGCCATCCCGGGTGTTATGCATTAAATAAATTTGCTGATAATATGATTTTCCACAAAAACATTTTGCCACGTGTTTAGCATACTTTTGTGGGTGGGTTGAGTGAGTCAAGTTGGGGCGAATTTTTTATATTGAGCAGGTACTAAAAGTGCACAATTGGCAGTAAACCCCTTTTTCGGACCGCTGCTCTGGGCCATAATGCCATTATGCGATTTATTCAAGTTCAGTCGAAAGGTCACTCTTCTTGACTTATTTGCGCTCGACTGGCGATTGAAAATCGTTTTAAGTGCAGCCCCCGAAATGCTAAGGAATTTTTGCGAAAAGGCGTTGAAGCGTAAAATGCCGCTCAAGCTGAGTAACAGGATTTGCTGGCAGTCGAGGAAATGCTAAATTAAAGCCTGGAAGTGGGAAATTTTCAACAGAAATAAAGCAATTTGACAAGGGTTTTCGGATATATTAAAATAAGTAAATCGCACTGCAAGAAAAGCAGGTCGAAACCTAGTCCTAATTCAACACCCTGCAGTATAATATACATATATTTACACCAATTCTGACTTTGGTTTTGTCGTAATTTGCGTGCTAATTTCCTGCTCCCAGTTTTCACTTGACATTTCCAGCTACGCAAAAGATTTGCATATCTTTCGTGCCGCAGCATGTGTGGAATGCAGAAGTCAGGGATCCATCTGCACAAAATCCTTTTGCCATTACTTGCTTCCACTGTGTCCTTATCACTCCATATCCATATCCTGTATCCACTCAGCCCTCGCCCACACTCTTGCCAGGACTCGAAGGCAGTGATGTATCCACTTCATATCATCTATAGGTTTTGACAGCTGCTCGAGTTGCCGCTCCTCTGCGGTTGCCAAGTTTTGGCTTTTGACTCCGACAGACATTTGCCTGGCAAATTACCAGAAACCAGAGACACTAGGACTAGGGAAAATGGGGTTAGACTCACTGTCTCTTGCGGGCAAATACGGAATTTTCATCACTTAATTGACATCTGAGCTGCGTGGCACCCCGAGCTGGGATGATGATTAGTTGTTGAATTTAACCGAAGAACATACATTAACTGAAATGAGACATCAAAGATGAAAGATGGTAGTAACAGTTTTGGTAATCATATTTTGCAGTACACATTTACCTGGGATAACCGGAAAATTGGGAAACTACTATATATGTGCGCCAGACTTTCAATTGTTCCGTGTGCAGCTGCCAATTAGAATTGGACAAACCAGTTTTTGGTTTTGGGCTTCGACACAGGAAAAGTGAAACCTCTTTGGCCAATGTCACTTGTCGTTGTCATTCTGAATCCTCATCGCAATCCACATCACAATCACCATACCCATCCCCATCTGCCTTCAGCTGAGGCTCATCCTCATCCTTTTTTGGCTTCTGGTCCCGTCAGCAGTGCGTCATAAGCGGGTTATGGCATTTTCATTTTGGGTCTGGGAAACGAGCTGAAAATGGAAAAAGGAGTTGATGTCAGTTAGGGTTGTTAAATTTTTGGCCAGTAATACATAGTACTGCAATTGTATTTATGGCCGAATGTGTATTAATCTTCTTTTTCCTCTGGCTTTTTACATGAAATAAAGCAGATTGTGTTGAAAGTTGGTTAATATTGAAACGATATTAAAGGCAGTAGAAAACGGAATGTTTCTGTATAAATTTTCTTAGTTTTCCTCGGTATTTGTGCTTTCACTTGACCTTGATTGGACGAAGCCCACGTCCTCATTCACATCTACATCCGCATCGCAAGTCAATTTAATTGGAAGCGGGCACAAAGTGCCTGCTGCCGTTACCCTTTTGACATTTAATTAATATGCAAATGGTGCTGCCTCTGCATGGCATTCTCGCAGCATCTGGCACTTCAGCATCTCCCAGATCCAGCGTCACATGCGATGGCCACTTCTTTGCCAGGACGGGGGGAATCCTTTGGATTCGCTGGCAGCGTAAACAAACAAGTGAAGGAATTAGGAAAGGCAGCTTAGTCATTCCACCGGCGTCGCAGATTTCGTGCAGGACTAGCCGAGGGAATGCCACATGGCGGAGGATTGCGGAGCGTGGAGCATGGAGCATCGGGAGTATGGGGCACATCCTTGACATCCTTGGGTGTCCCACAGGAATGCCCGCTTGGAATTTACGAGCCGCTCGAGATTATTTCCCAATGGCTGTTTGCTTTAATTGCGCCCATAGTCATTGGGGGCGTGGTCGAGTGTCGTTTGAGTCAGCAAACAAGGCGGTTCCTCTGTGCTACATCCTCACATTTAGCCACCATTTTGCGACATTCCACATACGCCGCGTGTGCCCGCGGATATGCCCCGAGATTGGTGTCGCTGCATTGTAAATATTGCATTGGGCAAGCTCAAATAAACACACTTATCGCATCGAATGGGGAGTCGTAAATATATATGTCTGCGTCTATATGCGGACATATCTCGGAGATGCATAAATTGTTGCCCCTCGGTGGTGGTGTGCCACCATTTTATATCTTATTTATTTCAATTTTTTGCCCATTCGTTGTCGCGACGTGTGTCGAATGTGCGGCACATTTTATTGGTATGTTTGGCCCTCCACATTTTATCATCCTTTGGGATGCAATTTAAAATATTGCAAGAGTCCCTTTTCGCCTTTTCCTCTTCGTTTTTGTTGGATTTTTCCATTCGCCATTGACGTGGCCGTTGAGTTGAGTGATTGCAATAAATTATTACTGCAAGTTTATCACGTTCAATGGAGCAGAGCTTGAAAAACAATATGAAGAGGAATAGGTTAGGTTGCAAAGTAAGTGAAATATATAAAATCTTAAAGAACATTGGTTTGGGACTGATTCTGACTACCACTGGTTATCGTCCGAAATATATATTTGCCAAATAGGTATAATAATTTACGCTTTAATTGTAATCTCGTTCATCATCACTTTCTTCGCATTTTCATCTCTCTGCGCTGTACGACCTTCTGCTGTTGTGCCACAATTGCAAGGGTGCTTTCCGAGAGCAAGTCGTCCTTACACCCAAAGAATCTCTGAACATCCTCGATCTCGAATGTCCTGAGAATCACTCCCAATTCAATGGCAAGCACGGCCACACAGGCTGCATATGCTTGGATCTGGTCAACTAACTTGAATCGAAAAACATTGCGATGTTGATTGCATATTGAATCCACCAGGATCTGGATTACATGGTGGATGGGGAACCAAATCGTAATAAGGAGGACTTGCATCAACAGACAAAGGATCACACACTCGGTGATCTGTCCAGCCTATTTCGGGAGCTCTTCAGACCGTTCTTCACCTTCAATTTGTTCAGGAACATTGGGGCCATAACTATGAACACAAAGCTATCAGCGGAAGCCTCTAAAGGACAGTAGAAGAGACCCATGCAGTGAAAGAAGATTGATACGAATATCGAAAATATGTAAACGGTCTCCATTATCTGATCTTTTTTGAAAATACGAATCACTCTTCTAGAATTATACAAATTTACAGGCAAAGATACAAAATTTTGTTCGTGATGCTTCAAAGAAATGAAATGCTTTGAAATGAAAATGCCTATGGATGGTTTGTATTTGAGTTTAAAGCCATGGCATACTATCCTTTTTAGAGTTTGGTTTGATACCTTATTTTAATTATTCCGAGAAAGTGAAAAATATATTTGAATGTAAGAGGAAAACAGGCCATGATTTTCCAGCTTGTCAACTGCAGAGACAAACATTTTTCTTTTCGCTTTAATTTCGACTGAAGACGGTTGTACGAGCTCCTTCAAAGATCATTTATTTTATTTCGTTTTTCCAAACTGAGAACGTTGTAAAAAATGCCTTCGCATTCGGTTATGCCTTCGCCTATAGCCTCGCGCGTGAGTTTCATTAGATAAGAGATTAGTGTGTGCTAATAACCAAGTGTTTTTCTTTTTTCCAAAAGTTAACCCCTGGCAGAGCTATAGCCAGATCTGCTGGAATGAATATCAAGCAGCGTTTGGGCGAGAAGTTACGTAATACGGAGGTGGTTAGACGCTCCCTCGATAATGATTTTATCGAGTGGCGGAACGATCGGCGTGTGTGGAATGACAATATTTCCGATGGACCCGGATTATTTCCAGCAACCACTTCCGCCGCCACCACCGGAAATTCTGGACTGGAATACCCCAATATCGTCGTCGCGATATTGAGGCTTTTATGGACTTCAATGATCACCCGCCAAGAGTTTGTGAGCCGGAGTACAACAACAATGATGTTAATCTGGGATCTGAACGCTTTAGTCCCAATGATTTCCATCGCCCCATGGAACAGTTTTCCAATCCCCCACCTCAAGGCAATTTCTCCTCTGGTGGCTATCCCAGCTTCGAGGCTCGTCGTGGAGACTCTGATTTCATGGAATCGTTCAATGATCTCGGCCAGGAGCCAAGTTTCCGTGAGGATATATGGAAGGTCTTTGAAACCCCAGTCGATGAGACCGAAATGCGGCGTCGCGATCCAAGTCCCCGCGGTCCCATCCGTCCTTCTGCTGCTCCAGATATGTTTGATAAAGTCTTCCATATCGGAGGCTACAAGTTGCCATTTGTCACCAACGGTGGGTCTCTCCTGTCGCAGTCAGAAGCGAAGTCGTTTCTTTGTCGTTTTTTAAAGAAAAATTCCGACTTATCGCATTTCCACAAAGAAAGGCAAGGCACGTTCTGCCGTGGAGCATGTGTATGTTGAGTCCGTGGATGTCAATGAGTTTGAGGATGGGGTTGGAAAGCGTTTCTCCCTCAACCGCTTCCGTGACGAGATCACCAAGGAGTTGACCAAGGTCTATCGCGGCCGAATGTATCGCAACTGGGATGGTTGGTGGAAGGATTTCCACAGCATTAACTTGGACATCGATGAGGAACTGGGCAAGTTCGAGATTTTAATGTCATGTATAACTTTATGCCACCGGGTGGGACTCTCAACTTTGTCGATTTGCTGAACAAAGCTACGATCGCTTTGACCAAGAATCGTAACAACTATCTGGGCAACATGCGGGTCGTGTACGGCCTCATGAATCACACCATCTTGGGCAACATGCCCATGGAGATAGTGGCCAAGCTACAGGATTTAATCCGCAGTGTTCCCAATCACTTGTGGATCTACAAGTTGCGCTGCGTGATCTACCTATGGTACAACTACAAACAGGTGATGACCAGCAACAACACCCAAAGACACTAAGTACCATCATGTGCTTAAGGAGTGGAAGAGCCCGTCATCCACTGGGTGGCCAAGGAGGCCTTCATCGAGCTGCGCAACATCAGCTATGTTGAGTTTCCCGATTTCAGGAAGCTCTATGGCAAAAACAAAGATACTAAAGCTTAAGCTAAAATTAACAGAGCTTACACGTATAACTTAATGTGATTAAATGATAAAATAAATATTAAAAAAGGCACCAAGCAAATCCAACACCACAATATATCCATTCTCTTTTGATATTCCAGCGTAATCCATCAAACCCTTTTTTTGTGTTTCATATTAAATTTTCTTTGATATTCCAGCGTAATCCATCAAACCCTTTTTTTGTGTTTCATATTAAATATTGTTATTCAAATAGAAACAAAGCTACTTATTTCGAGTGAATCCATACTCTGAGATCTGGCGCAATTTATTCAGCTTCACTTGCATAAAGTTGTTTAATTTGTTATCCCCAAAGTGCACCTGAGCCTCTGGGCTAAGAGGCAAGACCAAAAAAAAACGGAAGAAAAAAAATATATATATATGAGTGTATATATAGGAAGGATGAAAAAAGAAAGCAGGGAAAGCGGGAAAGCCAAATGAATAAACCAACAGCAACGGAAAATGACGATACAAACCAAAGAGAAGGCTATGAAAAAATGCAAAGCGCTACTGCATATTAATCCGACAGAGTATTTCACTCAGGACCTAACAGACACACACACATACACACAGGTATAGGGTGTCCTGGCAGCAGACAGACTCAAGAGTACACAGAGAAAAATATATAATTGTTAAGATTATTTGTAGGTAGACTTAGAGTTTTGTTTCCTGAAAATCTATAGGGATATTGATATAAACATACAATTTCAATGAAAGGGTTTTATAAGAAAGGGTATTTAAGACTTGTATATATATTTTTCTCTCCGTACAGGCAAGGCCATCAGGACACATCAGGGGTAGAGGGACAGGATATCTGCGGAATGGGCCACCGCGAAAGACATTTATTGTATCCTTAGCGCGGCTGACAGACGCGTGCTGAGACGATGATGAATTTGCTGCCGCCGATGCTGCCACCCACTGGCCACCACCCACCCCGGCGGCGGGAGCACACCCTCTTGCCCCCTCCCCCCTTGGCTGAAGATGATGCCTCCAATGTTGAGGGCACAAAGTGAAAAACTCGGCTGGCAGCTCAACGAAGCGGCAGAAATGACGACAGCCCGCCTCTGGGACGGACGCCGAGAAAGTGACGAAAAAAATGCAAATAAAATGCCGGGCTTATTGAGTCAGTGGTGACGATGATGGTGGTGGGGTTTTTGGGGCGGCGAACAAGACACTTTTTAGTTGATTGAAAAAGGTGATGTCAAGGTTTTTCCTTCTCTTCTATTTCACTCTTTTTGTTGACCTTTTTTTGCCGTTAAATATGATAGAAGTTTTGCACTTTGATAAGCAAATGCTATGGGTCCGTCTGCTAAGTAATAGTGAGTGGTGAAGGAAGGCTCACTGAAAGGAAAGTGGCCTGTAATCGCCAGAAACGGTTAATACATAATTGACAGGAATAAAAGAGCCAGAGAAAAACGGCTAAGAAAGATGCAATTTTAAAAGGAAATAATTTTAAAGGTAATGTAATCAAAATGAAAACAGTACAGTCATGCCTAACTTGCTTTTCTTTTTCTTCCTTAAATCATTAAAAATTTAATTATTATTTATAAGCCAATAAATATTTCGTACATTTTATTTTATTATATTATTTTTAATGTTTTTATTGAACCTTTTCCCCAAGATTTACAAGGAATTTCGCGCAGCAAAATGTTCATTTCATTTATCAAGATGAGATAGGTTCAAAAGCCATTGCTGGCTCATCCAAAAACGCATATATAAACACACTCGCCCACTTATTCACACACTCGTTTCGAATATGTATATATATGCAAACAGAGGAATGTAATAAAATACTAAAAAGCTTTTGTTGTGCTGACTGTTGGCGTCAGGTGCAGACAAACAAACACTTTTGGGGCCCAGGAGCAGCATTGGCAGTCAGATGGGAGACATCCTTGAAGCCAGTGGGATATCGTGTTTACGCATTTATCTCGGCCCGAAGGCTCCTCACACAGAGGCCCATGCGATAATATTTAATTTAAAATGGTAACCTCCGGCACATTTTGCTTAAATGAAAAGTGTCACACCTTTGCCGGTATCCGGGAGTCTTTATTTAAGGACTCATCCTAAGTCCCTCTAAATCAGATTCCATTGTAGGCGACGGCAGGAAGCGATTTTCGTGTCTTATCCAACTCAGAATTTAGGTGGAATTCCCGCTTAACTAAGGTGTACTTCCCCACGATACTCTCAAAAGAGGTTCAAGTGCGCCTTTAATGATTATCCTTGCTCAAAGGAAATTATTTGCGCCTGTCGAAACAGACTTCCCCTTTTTAGAATCTAATTTATTTGCGATAAAAATAAAGATTTAAATCAAGAAGGAATGGTACTTGAATTAAGGATACAAGGTCTACTATGTGGTGCCTGTAAACGGAGAGTATTTTGTAAAAGGATTCAGTAAATTCCAGACAAATTTTAAAATATATATTCCAATATAAACATAATACTAAAATACAAAATAATATATAAATTCCAAAATGTATCGATTTGATTATTTTCTAACATAATTTTACAAGAAACATTCTTCAAAATTGTTCTATTTTCTCCCTGAAGATAAATGTAATTCACGTTTTCCTTTAACAATTCTAGACTTACGCACACGTCATTAATTATAATTGAATT